TATTGTTCCATTTGGTTTTCTTGTTATTTCATGTAGTTGTAGTGGTCGCTCAGCATATTCCTACATTATCTATGTAACCAGAAATAGCTAGACAAACAAAACTCTGAAATGGTTTTTTTTTGCTCTTGTTTGTATTTAAAAAAATACCCTCTAGAGAAGACTCCTGGTGTGGTGCTGTAGCATCATCACTGGACTGTGAACCCCAAGGTTTGCAGTTCAAACCCACCAGCTGCTCCTTAGAAACCCTAGACAGGGTTGCTATGAGTCAGAACCAACTCCATGGTACTTAACAATAGAAGTCTTGGGTTTAGTGAACTCTGAATTAGTTTTCTCCTAATAGAAACAGCATCTGCTAAGTCATCTGTTACGGGGTAATTTTCACTAGATTGCTTCGGACAACTTTAGCCCAGCTGTGATTTATCAGGATCCCTGAGCGATAACTATAATAAACACAGTAAAAGATAATACCAGTTTGTAGCCAGTGAATACAGCAAAATTACCAGATTGAATCTTTGATCTGTTAAAAACAAGTTAGTCATGACTTGTTTTTGTTTTTTAATGTAGTTTAGATAGCAAAATATGTCTTAAGAAAGTAGCTTTCATATTGTTTATAATTTTAAAGATTATTAGGGAACTTAAGTATTCATAAATATTCTTAGTAATATTGAGTTAACATTCAAGCTCAAATCTCATCATGTATGAGAAAACGTAAAAGACTACAAACCCTGCACAATGCCAAGAAGTAAATGATATTTTCTGCGTTTATATACGGGTTAGCTGAAGTCTTACCCATGTGTAACTTAAACATGTTGTCACAGCTAGTTACGTGGCAGATTCTAGATTTGAATATATGCATGTTTGTGCCCTTAACCATTTTGTGGAGATGGCCACATGGCAGTTTAGTGGGCCATATTAAACCTGTTGGTGGTGTTAAGTGCCACTGAGTCAGTACCGACTCATAGCGACCCTGTATGGGGTTTCTGAGGAGTGGCTGGTGAGCTTGAACTGTTGACTTGGCGATTCAAACCGACCTTGCAGTCCAGTGCATTAAACTACAGTGTCACACTGGGATTCCATGTTATTTAAATGAATTAAAAAAAAAGATATGTTATCAGCAATTAAAGTTAGAGATTCCACGTTAAAATTCATATATCTCATTTCTCATGAGAACTTTGAATGGGGATTCATAAAAAATATAATAAAAAGCGTGCCAATTTTATTTTTTAAAGTACACAATTCAGTGGTATTCGATCTATTCACCATGTTGTAAAACTATCACCACTATCCATTTCCAAAAGTTTTCCTCATCCCAAACAGAAATTCAGTATTCCTGGTGTGGTGCTGTAGGATCAGTACTGGATTGCAAAGCACAAGGTCAGCAGTTCAAACCCACCAGCTGCTTCTCGGAAACCCTGTACAGGGTCTCTATGAATCGGAACTGACTCATTGACACTTAACAACAACATAGCTATAACCAGATTACTAGTGTGGCTCTGTAGGATGAGCACTGGATTGCTAACCACAGAATCAGTCCAAACCTAACCGCTGCTCCTTGGAAACTATACAGAGTCACTGTGAGTAGGAGCTGACTTGACAACACGTAGCAAGAACAGAATCTCTGTAACCACTTAATATACCCCCGCCTTCTTATGGAGTCCTGGTGTGGCACTGTGGGTTAGTGTGCTGGGCCGCAAAGTTGGTTTGATCTGCAAGGTTGAAGGTTCAAGCTTACTAGCTGCTCCTCAGAAACCATATGCAGGGTTGCTAAGGGTCAGAACCGACTCTGTGGCACTTAGCAACAACAATGAATTGTTTCCTTTAGTAAACCTGAGAACTTGTGTGTGCCCATGGATTGCTTCTTTTTTATTTCTTGACTGTGGATGCTTAGATTTCATCTTTCTTTAGCTTGGTTTAGATCCGTCATCACTCCTGCAGACTCTTATTCTACAGAAATAAAATTGTTTCTTAGGTCATCAGTTCTCTTCTCTTTTTCTCCTTGTCCTTGTGAATTTATATCCTTTTATTTATTTATTTTTATTGAGGTCTTAGAGGAGATAAAAATATGTCTTTAGTTTTCTATATTTTTGCTGAAACTGCCTTTTCTAAACCAAAATTAATAATATTAATAATATGCCATTTACCTTAAAACTTACTAGATTTATTGTTTCATTTCTTGCAAGTTTCAGAAAAATTGAAAAACTTTTTAAAGTTAACACTTTTATATAGTCTTCTGTAGACTAACAAAATGTTAGCTTGTTTATTTTGAGTAAATAAAAGTACTCTGTATTTTCAGTAAATATGGGTCCTGGAACATTTGGTCTCTGCCTGAGATTCTATTTTGAGAGTATACCATAGCTTATTTAACCTGTCCTCTGTTGATAGACAGTGTTTGCTTCTTAAAAATGTTGTGAAAAGCTATTTTATATGTACGTTTCCTTCCATTATAAATTAATAAATTTTTGGTCATGAGATTTCTGTTTTACAGAAACACATTATCAAGTAGTTGTTCAAATAATCTGTAACCAACAGTACGTAAGACTATGGTAGTATATTTTAATGGTTGATTTTTTTCTTCTTCACTAGACTATGAGCAATCTAATTTATTGCTCATAAATAAAGACATTAATGAAAACTAGACACCTTGAAGAAATAGTTTTTCTAGTAGTTGAAGTCTTATCTTCTCCATTACTGGAATTTATGGCATAAGATTGTTCTATTTTTCATTTTTGCATTCTAAAAAGGAAAACAAGAAACAAATTAGTGTTAGAGATGCTGATGCTATGATTCCATTTTTTAATGAATTAAGCACTTCATATGCTTATTTTTCTCTAACTGTTCGAGCTTACTGCTTTTTCAGTGTACTACATGTTGTAGAACCCATGAAACCTCCCTCCATACCGCATTTGATTAGCTATACTTGCGACGATTAATGAGTCTCTTCTTGCTGGCTTTTGGAGTCCTTACTCTTTGTTTTTCTTTCTGTCCTTCTATTTCGTATCAATCTCCTTTGAACGTTTTTCTCCCTCTGCACACACTGTAAGCATTGGTTCCTTTCAGTTTCTTCTCTTGTCTTACTGTGTTTCTTATTCTTGGTTTTAATTGCCACCTATCAGCTGATGACTCCCATGAAATCTCTTCTAAGCTTTAGGCTTATAATTCTAAAAACCCAGTAGAACGTCAGGTTCCTCATATTAAATATGTCCAAAATGGAGTTTAGCATGTTTTCATCCTGACTGACTTTGCCCCTAGGTACCCTGTTCTCACAGTAACACCATCATCCCGCAGATTTCCCAGAATAGAAACCTGGCTGTTATTCTAGATGGCTTCTACTTCTTGTTCAGTTCTAAGTTCTGTTGACTTTTTCTCCTGCACCTTTACCAATTTTGGTTTTGTCTTTTCTTCTTGTAGTAGCATTTCTGCTTCTAGATATATTCCCTATCTAAATCCTGTTTTTTACACTACTGGTAGATTGAACTATTTGACTTGGAATTGACGGCATGTCCCTCCCAACATTTAGCCCAAACACAATATGACAGAAAGGAATCTCTATGACTTGGTCTTGCTGCCTCTCTAAGTTTATCATTTACTGACAAACCACGTTTTGTTGTGTTTCAATTTGTTGTGCTGTGTAGATAATGCAATTTTTACAAGTTGAAGGTTTGTGGCAAGCCTCTGTCTGGCAAGGCTGTCAGTGCCATTTTTCCAGTAGCCTGTGCTCGCTTTGTGTCTCTGTGTCACATTCTGGTAATTCTGAAGGCATTTCAGTGCTGTTGCACGTTCAGTAGAGTGTAATATGGTGTGAACATTTAAATGCACTGGGAAACAAACAAAATTATATGACATGCTTTACTGTAGTTTTAGCTTTAATGTCATGGTCTGAAACTCTCAACTTCTATTGTTGTTGTTAAGTGCCATTGAGTCGATTTGGACCCATAGCGACCCTGTATAGGGTTTCCAGGGAGTAGCTGGTGAGTTTGAACCACCGACCTTGCAGTTCAAACGGCTCTGCAATCTGGTGCATTAACCCACAGCGCCACACCAGGACTCCCAACCTCTCTGGTATCTCCAAAAAAAGCCTGTACCATTCTCTGCTTTTGGCACTGCGGGTTAATGAGCTGGACTTCAATGTCAGTTTGAATTGCAAGGTTGACGTTTCAAGCTCACCAGCCGCTCTTTGAAAACCCTATACAGGGTCACTGTGAGTCAGATTCAGCTCAGTGGCACTTTAAAGTAAAACAACAACAACAACATTCCTTAACTTGTTTTAATTACATCTGTCGCACGCCCTGGCCTTTTTTAGGGGGGCCTCCACTTACCCTTTAAAATTTAGTGTAATCATCCAATCCTTCTCGAAGCCTTCTGTATTTCCCTACATTGGACCCAAGGTACCATGTTTGTGCCTCTATTGTTGATCATTGCACTAACCATGTAATATTAAAGAGCAGTTATTACTCTGTCCCTGTGAAAAGAGATGGTTCTTGCAGTTTTGAGTCTTAAATGCTTCAGTTAAAGTACTGGCTCAGTTAATTTATTGTTTTAATGTTAAGTGTCTGAGATATTTAGATTGTTCGTGTAATCTATTTGTAGATTTTAAAAAATAAATGGTTACAAAAATCTAAGCTAAGTTTTTGGAGTATCTTCTACGTCAATAGATAATGTGCTCGAATCATGTAAATAATATAAATTTTATACTGAAGGAAATGAGCATGTTGCTGCTGAAAACACTAATGCCAGAATCAAATGTCATTTAGTCTGTTTGTTAATTTGAAGCTTTTGTTCCCTGCCTAAGATTTGTTTAAAGTTTTATCTTTTGAAAATAACAGGTCAAGAATTTTCATGTTAATTTTCTAGATTAAATTTGAAAATATTAGAGTGAGGGCAACAAAATATCTTTGGGTTTGTTTTTTCTAAAACAAATTTGTCAATTTCTCTTAGGAATTGGGTTGAAAAAAAATGTTATTCTCCTGTTTTCTAACCTGTGTTTTATTTCTGAATTGCAGTTACAGATATAGAGCTGAAACGACTGAAGGATGCCTTTAAGAGAACTTGTGGACTCTCGTGTTACATGGGCCAGCACTGCTTCATCAGAGAAGTGCTTGGGGATGGAGTGCCTCCAAAAGTTGCTGAGGTGATTGTATAATTCGTTTTCCTTTAAGAGAGTTGTCCAACTAGCCTGAACTCTCGAAGGGGCCTCCTGACCTTATAACAGATTTAATCTTCACCACAGTTATTTTTCTTGTTGAGGGGATAAACAGGTCTTGTTTTAGATGTCAATATGGCTATGTTCCTAAAGCCAAATTGGAGTTCTGCAGAGCTACTGCTCTGCTGCTTTTGTACTTCTGAGCTTTAATAGCAACGGATTGTAATTATAGGAGGATTGGTTTGACTTCTTATTCTTAAAAATGTCATCTCAAAAAAAAAAAAAAAATGTCATCTCTCTGACATACTATTTTTCTATTGAAAGTATGTGTAGTACTCTGAAATAATAGATTCCTGGTGTGGCGCTGAGGGATCAGCTCTGATCTGCAAAGCATAAGGTCGGTGGTTCAAACCCACCAGCTGTTCCATGGAAACCTTATACAGGGTTGCTATGAATTGGAAACGACTCGATGGCACTTATTAATAACATGTGTTACAAATTTGGTATTAAAGAAACCCTTCCATATAGTAAAACTTAGCTAATGATATAAAGTTAAATGTTGTAAATGAAACAGTAGCTTAGTGGAAATTCTAAAGGCTCATTTAAATTCTACTAAAATTTTTAAGTAGAGAAAAAATGTGCCAAGTTTGTAAAAGCATTTTCTAAAATTAGTAAGATTTAATTACATTTTTGTAGTACATTGGAAACCCTATGCAGGGTTGCTACGGGTTGGGATTGACTCGACAGCACTTAACAACAACAACATATATACATATGTCATTTAAAATGGGAAATGAGAATAAAATGAATAAAATTGTGAACATTATAATAGGAATTTTAATCTTGATATATAGACATTAACTTTCCCTTTCTAATTAATGACAGTTTCTATCTCTAACCTGTGTTGAATGCTTTTGAACCTTGAAGTTTGCATAGTATGTTGTTGTTGTTGTTAGGTAACATCAAGTCAGTAGGTACTAAGTCATAGCTACCCTATACACTACAGAATGAAACGCTGCCAGGCCAACCTCACAACTGTTGCCACACTTGAGCCCATTGATGCTACATTGCCATTCCATCTCAATGGGGATCTTCCTCTTTTTCTCTGACCCTCCACCCTACCAAACATGATATCCTTCTCCTGACAATATGTCTGAAGTATGAGAGATGAAGTTTGGCCATGCTGGCTTCCAAGGAGCATTCTGGTTGCACTTCTTCCAACACAAATCTGTTGGTTCTTTTGGCAGCCCATGGCACTTTCAATATTCTTCTCCAACATCATAACTCAAATGCATCAATTCTTCTACGATCTTCCTTATTCACTGTTCAACTTTCGCATGTATATGAGGTGATTGAAAATACCATGGCTTGGGTCAAGTGTACCTTAGTCCTCAAGCTGACATCTTTGCTCTTCAATACTTTAAAAAAGTCTTGTGCAACAAATTTGCCTAATGTAATATGTCATTTGATTTCTTGACTGTTGCTTCTGTGAATGTTGGTTGATCCAAGAAAAATGAAGTCTTGACAACTTCAATCTTTTCTCCAATGTTGTTTATTGGTCCAATGGTGAGGATTTTTGTTTTCTTTACATTGAGAAGCAATCCATACCGAAGGCTGTGGTCTTTGATCTTCATCAGTAAGTATTATAAGTCCTCTTCTCTTTCAGCAAGCAAGGTTGTATCATCTACATGTTGCAGGTTGTTTATGAGTCTTCCTCCAATCTCGATGCCACATTTTCTTCAGGTAACCCAGCTTCTAGGATGATTTGCTCAGCATACAGGTTGAATAAGTATGGTGAAAGAATATAACCCTGTCGCACACCTTTCTTAATTTTAAACCATTCAGCGTTCCCATGTTCTGTTCAAACAGCTGCCTCTTGGTCTATGTACTGATTCCTCATGAACACAATTAAGTGTTCCGGAATATTCATACTTCGCAATATTGTCCAGAGTTTGCCAGGATCCACACAATCGAAGGCCTTTGCGGAGTCAATAAAGCACAGGTAAACACCTTTCTGGTATTTCTGCTTTCAGCCAAGATCCATCTGATGTCAGCAATTTTATCCTTCATTCCATGTCCTCTTCTGAATCCGGCTTGAACCTCTGGAAGTTCTCTGTCAATGTATGCTTGCAACCTTTTCTGTATTACCTTTATTAAAACTTTCTCGCATGGGTTATCAAAGATAATTGGCCGATGATTTCCGCATTCCATTGGGTCACCTCTCTTTGGAGTGGGCACAAATATGGACCTCTTCCAATCAGTTGGCCACATAGTTATCTTCTAGATTTCTTGGCAGAGATGAGTGAGTGCCTCTGGTGCTGCCTCACTTTGTTGAAAGATTTCAGTTTGTGTTCCATCAGTTCCTGATGCCTTATTCTTTGCCAGTTCTTTCAATGCCCCTTGGATTTCTTCCTGTAGTATCATTGTCTCTTGATCATATGCTACCTCTTGAAATGGTTGAACATTGTACTTTTGGTACAGTGACTCTGTGTATTCCTTCTGTCTTCTTTTGCTGCTTTCTGCATCATTCAATAATTTTCCCAGAGAATCCTTCAGTGATAAAAGTCGAGGCTTGCATTTTTTCTTCATTTCCCTCAGCTTGAGGAATACGGAGTGTTTTTCCTTTTGGTTTTCTAACTCCATATCTTTGCACAGTTTGTTGTAATATTTGAGTTTGTCTTCTTGAACTGACCTTTGAAATTTTCTGTTGAGCTCTTGTAACTCCTCATTTCTTCCATTTGCTTTAGCATCTCTATGCTGGAGAGCAAATTTCAGCGTCTCTTCTGACATCCATTTTGAATTTTTCCTTCTTTCTTTTCTTCTTAATAACTTTTTGCTTTCTTCCTGTATGGTGTTCTTGATGTCATCCCACAACTCTTCTGGTGTTCGGTCTTTAGTGTTTAATGTATCAAATCTGTTCTTCAGATGATCTCTAAATTCAGGTGGGATATAATCAAGGTCATATTTTGGCTCTCGAGGACTTATTTTCATTTTCTTCAGCTTCAGTTGATTTGCATATGAGCAATTGATGTATATAGATTGCATTTGTTGTTGTTTTGTGTTAGAAAACTTTTAAAGGATATATTAGGTCTCTTATATGCACTATTGTGTAAATTATGTAGTTTCATGTGCTTATACATTTTTTATAAGGATAGCATTTTTCCTGAGATTATTGAGTTTGCTGTTAGAAGATGATTAATCCTCCTATTACTTTTATCTTCTTGTCTTTAGATACTAGTATAAGTAAAACTTGGGATCCTTTGTAGTACTGTAGGATAAGCACTGGACTATTAACTGCAAGGTTGGTGGCTCAGACTCATTGCTCCTTAGAAATCCTAAACAGAGTCACTGAACTAGAACTGATTTGATGGCATTTATAGCAATTACATAATATAAAACTTAGAATGTAGAAATTTTTTTATTTTGGGATATAGCTATTATTGTAATGTTGTATATATGTAAATTGAAGAAGGGGCTTAAACAAGTCTGAACTGATTCATTCAAAGTATTCCCAAATTCAGATATGTCCTAACTTTACCCCCTCTATCCTCAGTTCCTTTCATAACTCAAAACTGTCAGGCCCAATATAATTTATGTTGCTGGGGAAAACTTAGGTTCAAATATCTGGCTCATTTTTAAAATCTGTATATATGTGTATGTATACATATATATATTAACTGTCATGAAGCTGACCTCTATTCATGGTTGAACGCATGCACAGTGATATCAGACCATTTTAATCCATGGTGTTTTCAGTGGCTGATTTTCAGTAGATCACCAGGCCTTTGTTCCTAGTCTGTCTTATTCTGAAAATTCTGCTGAAATCTGTTTAACATATAGCAATACCCAAGCCTGTTCATTAGCAGATGAGCTTGAAGTGCATTGACGAGGAATGACAAGTGGGTCTTCCACATGGAAGTCTAAGAGCACTGCACTGCTCTTACTGACTCCATGGCTTTTCATCTGTGCACATAAAGTAGCAGACATCCATCCAGCTCCTTTAGCCAGTTTTTAGTTGGGTTGTCTTTTCATTACTGGATTGTAAATGCTTTACATATTCTATATGCAAGTCCCTTATAAGCTATATGAGTTCCAAATACTGTCTCCCGTTCTGTATGTAGTTTTTGTTTGTTTTTTTTTTCTTTCACTTTTTTGATGGTGTTCTTTGAAACAAACGTTTTAAATATTGGATCAGTTTTGTTTTGTTTTTTTAATGGCTTGATATTGGATCTAAAGAAACATGGTCTAATGCAAGGTTACAGTGATTCGCTTCTGATTTCTTCTAAGAGTTTTACAGTTTTTAGCTCTTACATTTATATCTTATCCATTCTGAATTAATTTTGATATATGATGTGAAGTGTTGAACTTTACTCTTTTGAATGTGGATCTCGAGGTTTCTCAACACCATTTCTTGAAAAGACCTTCCCCATTGAGTTATTTTATCACTTCTGTTAAAAAGAAAAATTGAGTGTAAATAAATGGAAGGGTTTATTTTTAGACTCTCAATTTTAATTAATTCATCTGCATGTCTTTCTTTGTGTCAATACCATACTGTTTTGATCCCTCTAGCTTTGTAGTATGTTTTGAAATCAGGAAGTAGAGTCCTCTAACTTAGTTCTTTTGCAAAATTGTTTGGGCTATTTTGATTCCCTTATGTTCCCGTATAAATTTTAGGATCAACTTTATAATTTCTGCGAACCTTGTGGTTGGGATTTTTGAGAGGGAATGCTTTGCACACCTGTAAATCAATTTGGGGAATATTGTTATTTTACCAATATTACCTCTGACCCATGAAATTGGGCTATTTAAATCTCTGTTTTCGTCTAACAATATTTTATGGTTTTCAGTGTACACATCACATGTCCACCAAGGGAACAAAATATTGTTGTTGTTGTCAGGTGCCATCGAGTCGGAACCGACTCATAGCGACCCTATGCACAGCAGAACGAAACAATGTTCGATCCTGGGCCAACCTCACTACCGCTGCC